TAAGTAAGAGCTGGAGTCCCAAGATTAATAGGAAGAGACCAATTCAATCTAACACTAGTATCTGTAATATTAGTCACACTTAATCCAACAGGAGGACCAGGAGGTACTGAGAGATAAAAATGATATATACACATACATAATGTCACAATACCTGCCAGTATTAGTTGTATTGTATTAACTAATGACAATCCTATACCATTGCCAACAATACTAGTATATGTTCCATTATCATCTGATGTGAAACCAGTAATTGATAATACTCCAGTCATATTGTTCACGGTAAATCTTCCTCCAGTAGTTATTGTATTATTATTAGGAGCAGTCCAGGTAACAGTTGGGACTGGATTACCACTCACATTAGCAAATAAGAATATTGTCACAAAACTGCCCGACTGAATATATTGAATATTAGAACCTACCAATGTAGCTTCTGCTGAGACTAAAGATAAAGAGTATGATGAGAGTTGTTCAGATTTACAAAGGCACTTACACAGTACATTTAGTATAAAGGTAGAGTTAGATGCCCCTGCATCATTACTGACAGCTAAAGTATAGTTACCTGAATAATTACGCTGTACATTAGTAAAGGATACATTATAATCATTAACAGTAATTATTCCTTCATTGTTAGACAGAGGATTGCCATTATATGACAGTTGTGATGAAATGAAGGGAGGGAATACATCAGGTCCTCCTTCTACTGATTGTAGGTTAATAGTTATATCCTCACCTTCAACCACTGTTTGAATGAAATCACTTGCCAGAAGAGATGGGCTCACTAATGAAAAGCACTAATATCTTATTTGAATATTACCACTATATTTTACCTGGTAAACCTAATGTGAAAAATCTTGCATCTTCATTTACTTGCCCACATCGAAATGATATCATATTGAACTCAGCTGTAAAATTTAAAAGGGTAAAGTTAGTTCTAGTACCAGATGGCTCAGTGACCTCTGCTTTAGCTATAAGATAGTCTGGCCCTGCTGAAACACCAGAAGCAAAAGGTACAGTTTCAAAGGCACTGTCAACAGGTCTTTTGGATTGCCATGTTGTCCTAATATACTCTCCATTTGAGCCAGCACCCTCATTGAATACAGAGCAGTACAGTGACACATTGTTTCCCTCTTCTACTATCACGTATATTGGCTGAGACTCACTTGATGGATCAGTAACAAAAGAATAGGGCTGACAGTGAGCTAGGTATGGAAATAAAAGGACAATCAGAGTAAGAACTGCTGCCATAATGATCTTTTCTTCCTCTGAAAGGCTGTAGATTCAGCAAAACTGTATCTTTGATGGAATGTACAACTCACTGGCAATGTAAGCCATATAGTATTTACTTCCTTAAAAGGAAATCAATAGTTGGATCAACTTTACTATAATAGCTTAGTGTTACTATAAAAATTACTCTTGTGTTATTTTTAATTAATAGAGAAAAATAGGGTGAGCCTAAGCAAGCCACAAAACGTTATGCATGCAGCTATCTTCATGTCATTGTAGTCTTACTGATAAAGATCTACACATCACAACTAGGTAAGTCACTTAGGCAACTATTTCTTGCTCTTTATTTATTTCCTACAAATCCCTTTAGCAATAATTGAGGTGCTATGGGCAAAATGTTCCTTGAGTCTCATCAGCATTTACATCAATGAAGATGAGTTTTTGGTTACTTGGAGCTCTTGCTGCCGGAGACGCCTTTGTCTTTTACAAATCAGCAGGCACACTTCCTACAGTTTTCTCATGATGTGAGGCCTTTTAGGCTTGCCCCAATCTTGATCTGGTATTTTAAAACATTAATGGGAAAGGAAAATAACAATTAGTCTAGTAGCCTAAGTATAGGTATTTTGTTAGTACTAAGGCATTATACAGCTTAATAATATTAGGTTCAGTTAAATAGGCCACCTCCGACCAGCAATCCTATGTTTGCAGCCATCAAAATTAAAACTGTCAGGATCACAACATAGAAAGCACTGCTGATGAATGCAATTTTCATGTAAGTTCTTCTTTGACTCATAGTTTTAGCATTGGATGCCTAAACAAACAAAAAATAAATCTAATTAATACTACACTGCCTACACACAAACATAGATCTATAAATGGGATGGATTAGGAGCATTCTCTTGAATACTCATTTGTAATATACCTTGCGTAGACAACAGAAAATAGCACCTGCACACGGAATAGTAAGGCCGCATGTTAGAGAAAGACAAACAATGGTCATTATGAATGCTGCGAGATGCAGCCTTTGTGTATTGACTGCAAATCCTCCTCTTATCTATAACAAAGCCATAATCTGATTATTATTATAAGACTATAACATCTATCAAATTTCACAAAAGCCTAATACAAACTGAAAGTATATATAGTTGTGGAAAAGATCCATCATAACAGCAAAGGGCTCACCTCCTGTTCAGATCTTGGGCCACTAGGGACTGAGTGATACTGATTCTCAATAACAGGTGCCGGAACAGCATTATTATGAAGAAGAGGACTTAGAGGACTAACTGGTCGATAAATATCTCTATCAAATCCTCCATATATTGGGTTAGGATCAGTTGCAAATGAAGCTGCATGACTTCGTTGGTACTAAAAATTAGAGTAGTTTACAGTTCATTATTGTATAGTACATGTGTCTTGCAAAGATACTTAGTTCATCAGCTAGTCTGTACCATAACTAACCTGCATCTTCAATAGCCCTAGCGCGAGTAAAATAGTAGACCAGTATCTATGAGTAGACCAGTATCTATGAGTAGACCAAGTCGTAAATAGATCTAGTCACGCCTACTTTTCACGTGCTTGGAATGGCTACTACTACAACAGGACAGTGTGAGGATGAAGAAGAAAGGGAAGAGGCAGTGGAGTCTGACGAGGATGAGGAGACCGTGGAAGATGAGGACTTACCTGAAACTAGTGGAGTAAGTTTTTTTATCTGTTTATTTTTGACATTATTTTATAAAATTATTGCCATGTAAAGGATGAGGAGGATGATGGCGAGGCTGGCAATCAGTTGATACAAGCCATTGCACTACTGGGAAAGAAACAGTAAGTATATTTTAAAATATTTGTTGTTCTAATTTTTGTAGGCATACTAGGCAACGAAATGAACCATCAAGCATCATATCAGAATTTAACATATCAACTGATCAACAAAGTGAGTTTAATTATTAATTATAGCCGTGAATCCATTGTTAATCAGAGCTGAAAGCATATTTTTGTTTTGTAAACGTATTACACAGGTTTATATGTTTATAGAAAATATTGACACGAGTGAACTATTGCAAGGACTCACTAACAAGAAAGGACTGAAACAACTGAAGCAAAGGCTGGTAAATTTTTGAATTATCGATCGTGTGAATTTTTTATGGCCATACGAAATAATCATTTCTTTCCATTTATTATCAATTAGAATAAATTAAGTGACAATACAACTCAGCTACTCAAACCATTAGCCCCAATACAAAAAGACAGAGTAAGTCTAAGATTGTAAGAATGTTATTTTGTAGTTTGTGCTTTAGATCCATCGTAAATTAGCTTATGAGAAATCGTCAAAACAAATCTCGGACTGGGACCCGATTGTCAAGCACAATAAGAGAGTAATGAATCATTAATCTTTTTATCTTTATCTTTGGTGTATTTATGTTTGCTTGTAGGCTGATCACTTGCAGTTTCCATTGCAAGAAGATGTACCTGCCATTCCATCACTAAACACTAAAGTTGAATCTTTTAAAGTAAGTTAGAGTCTTCTATTTTTTATACTACTGTATAGCTAGAACATTTGGTGGAGTAAAATTTAGGCGAACTAATGTCCATTTGCCAAATTTTTAGTCTCCAATTTGATAGGGTACCATTGAAGCATGCACAGAATTAAAATTTCGCCAAAATTTTAGCCTCCAAACCTCTTTTAAAGTCAATTTGCCAAATTTTTAACACTCCAAATTTTCTAACTATACAGTATATAAGAGAAACATACATCAATTGACATTGCTGTTTACTCTTTTTGTTATAATTGTAGGCAGTGACTCCGTTAGAGCTGGCAGTACAGGCCATGTTGAGTAGCAGTGATCATGTCATTGAAGATGGTGAAGAATTGAGTAAAGCAGAGAAAAGAGAATTATTGAAACTGTCAATACAAGAAGTATAGTACATGCATATAATGTTGTTTTATTATGTATAGCATGAGAGCAACTTATATTTATGTATGTAATAAAAAAGGAGAAATCTCTCCTAGTCATTTTGATAAAATTCCATTAAAATAGTCCATGGCCTGATTTCAGAGCAACTTAAAAAATTCATTAAAAATCTAATTTTGATCAAAATCAGCTCAAACTTCTACGCAACATAAGAACATGTATATGTATTGGGAAAAAAATATAAAAATGGAAAATTCTCTCCTAGCCTTTTTTGGCAAAATTTGGCCCGAGACCGTGTACTATAGTACAGGGACTTTGGCCTGATTTTGGAGTAACTTTTAAAATTCATAAAAAATCTAATTTTGATTGGAATCAGCTCAAACTTTCTACGCAACATAAGAACATGTATATGCATCAGGAAGAAAATGTAAAAATGGAGAATTCTCTCCTAGCCATTTTTGGCGAAATTCAGCCCGAGACCGTGTACTATAGTACAGGGACTTTGACCTGATTTTGGAGTAACTTTAAAAATTCATAAAAAATCTAATTTTGATCGGAATCAGCTCAAACTTTCTACGCAACATAAGAACATGTATATGTATCAGAAAAAAATATAAAAACAAAGAATTTTCACCTAGCCACTTTTTGACAAAATACCCTGTACTATGGTACAGGTTTTTTGGCCAGTTTGCACGATTTATGTGTATCCATTGTATTGTAATAGGCTAAAGAGAGAAGAGCTGAGTTGAGCAAGATGAGGTCATTGCTGTCAGCTTACGAACAAAAGCAAAAGAGACTCAAACGCATTAAGAGCAAGAGGTACTCCAATAACGGCTAGACTATAAAATTAAACAGGAAACCCTCGTTTTTAGTTTTCATAGAATTCAGAGAAAGAGAAAAGAGAAGCTTGCTTCTAAAGCAGGAGAAGATGATTCTGATGATGTGCTCGAAAAAGCTGAAAAACTCCGTGCAAAGGAAAGAGCCACATTAAAGCATTCAAGAATGTCGAAGTGGGCCAAGGATCAACTGGCAAGGAAACACAAAGACCCAAATGTGAGGATTTTTATTGACAGTATGAGTGTTTACATGTACATGTATGTGTGCAAACAGCTCATTTTATTTTTGCCTTTAACAATTCATAGACTAGATATTCACTGACAGAGCAGTCTCGATTAAAGTCAGAGCTAAAGCAAAAGAATTACGAAGAAAAGTAACAAAAATATCTACTAATAATATTACTGTATTTGTATCCTTTATTATATTGCCACAGTGAAGATGAAGACTCAGATCATGTAGAGTCAGAGAACGAAGATGTTGATGATATTACTATTTATGATACTCTTGACAATACACAGCAACACTCAGAGGCTGATAGAAGAACTGACAATAATATAAAGTCTACCAATACTAGTAGCAGTGCTCTTATTGATCCAACTGACTTCTTGACCACAGAGACACTGAGGGAGCATGATTTGGTGTCTGCTAATGAAAACGTTTTAGCAGCCAAGGAAGCTTTTGCAGGTGCTCAGTTTGTGCTGATAAAGCTTGTTTATGACACGTTTTGTTTTAGATGATGATGTCGTTATGGAATTTCTAAAAGAGAAAGAGGACGAAGTTGAGAAAAGCAAACCAAAAGAAGTTGACTTAACATTACCAGGTCAGCATCCTCTCTGTGTATCAAGCACAATTTACTTTTTTATTATTAACACAAAACCCTAAGTCAACCAGCAATAATACAAATGCTTTATATTACTTGGTGCAGGTTGGGGAACATGGGCTGGTGAAGGGGTTGTGAAAAAGAAAAGAAAGAGAAAGGAGAAGGCTGAAGAAGAGAAGAATAAAAATAAAAAAGCAAAATTGTCCGAGCAACGTAAAGACGACAAGTTAAAGTATGTCATCATTAATGATAAACTGGACAAGAAAGCAGCTAAACATCTTGTGAGTTACAGTGTGATTATAAACATAAAATAGTTTTTGTTATGCAAAGAAAATATTCAACTAAAGAATGTATTTATTATTTATCATAGGTGAGTCAAGTTCCTTATCCTTTTGGAGGAGATAAGAGGCTGTTTGCAAGAAAGATGGCGACACCCATTGGACGTAACTGGAACACAGAGACTCACTTTAATGACACCATAAAACCAAGGTAAGGAAGAGAGACTAATCTTTCATTAATACTTCACTCTAGTGCATTGTAACTATGAATAAATTAAATGTAATTGTTTGTTAGGATCAAGACAAAGATTGGAGCTGTCATTGAGCCAATGAAAGTAACAGAAGAAGTTGAACAATTTATTAAAAAGACTAAACGCGATAAGAGAAAGAAGTAGTTGTCTTTTTTCTGTTACTGTTATAGAATACTTTTCATAATATTCTGTGCACAAAAATTTTGTCATGATTATTTTGGAATTATTGTCATTAACATTGATTCAATAATGTATAGGAAAGAATAAGAGGAGGCAAATGATTATGATGAAACTAGCAACAAAAAACAACAACAATACTAACTACTATTAGATCTAATAGCAACTGAAACGACAACAATTCCTAAACATAGAATTCTGCTTGAGTAACTTAGCATAGCTAGGAGGAGCACATTTCCTATAACCAATTTTAAGAACTAGCAACGGAAGGCAACTCAGAGCTGTGATCAACATGGTCTTCCACACAAAATCAAAGGACAGTAAAAACTTACCATCTATAAAGAACAAGAAAGAAAATAAAATGGAAGCAGAATCATTAATTTTACTTACCAAAGTAATCTTTAAGGAGAACAAGTGATGATACATATATAGCAATGGTAATGAGTTCAGATATTATCATCACAAGATGCCAGGTTCTGATGGTGAGGGCTACCATGAGCAGCTCAGTCAGTATCAATGCAGTGAATGTGATTGATACTACATGAATCAACTGAGAATCAAACAACCAGAATCCAAGCAACATAATGACACCACCTTCACAATGGGACAGAAGGAAAGGCAAAATGACATACAGAGCAACTATAAATATTCACCTTGATAGACACTGATTAATACCCATATGAAGAATGTCTTCAATGATAGAACACGACCCTATAGAAGCATACAATTAAAACAGTTTAATTTGATACAATTAAAATAAATATCACTGAGTCAGTACTACACAAAATGAGTGATTTTTGAACTATAGGTACCTTCATTAGTTCTTGATAGAGCTCAGGGTAAGTGAGAGCAACATCTGATGATACATCCTCATCCAGGACTAGTGAAAACACAGGAGCCATTGTGTACACAGTAGCATATCTACAGATAGTCAGAGAGCTGGTTAAAAATACTGCACTGATGTACATTGTGTATGTATATGATAATAAGTTAGGCTAATACTATTAGATCTAACTTAAGAATTAAAAATTTTCCAGACTTCCAGTAATACTAATTGAAATACATTACTTCTAATGTCATTGACCTGTATGCATAGCTACTATAACTCACCCAATCATAAGTATTCCTTCATACAGAGACAAAGCAGCATAATAGAATATAGCTGAAAACACAACCTAATGATAAACATAATTAATATACACATACATGTACATTTAGTGTATATACAAACCTGCATTGCAGTAATGATGAGTCCTCTGTGAATAACAAACTGACTCAATGAGGCTGATCTCTTATAACTGGATTAAATAAAGAAAGATTACAATAAATTATAAAATAAAAGACGAACCAGTTTCTTCCATGCCACACTAAGAGTCTACTGATGTGGCTGAACTGGGTCAGTGAGAAATCAGCAGCTAAAGAGGCTTGCAGTCCTTCCTGTATTAAGAGACTAATATCAGTAGTGGATTCAAATAAATACTGACCTTTCCAGCAATGCCAATCCCAGCATTAGCTGCCTGTATCATACTAACATCATTACCACCATCACCTTCATTAAGAGTGGGAATGGGAGTATAGAAAAGGAAAGTAAAATAGAGAAATAAAAAATGATAGCTTCAAAGGTGATAGAGCATGTACCAATAGCACAGACTGGCTTCCTAGTATAAGTCTTGAGGAGTTGAACAACTGTTGATTTGTGAGTTGGTGAGCATCTGCAGCAGACTACAGTTGGACACTGACAGGCCAGCTCTATAAACTCCGTTTCATAATGTTGAAGGCATAACTATTTTATTTAATAAAACAGTATTACTAATAATAATCATTTATAATAATTATTACTTCAAGCCCGTGTCCACTGATTATTAATGATGAATCATTCTTCTTTCTCAGTTGGTTTAACTGTGCATGTACATCACCTCTTGATGACACCTTTCACAGTTAAAATCCACATAAAATAACAGTGATTAGTACAATTACCTCTGGCAGAGTAAATATTGGTTGATTGCGTGCTATTAGTCTAGAGCTCAGAGCTATTGATGTTGCAGTTTCCAACTTGTCACCAGTTAACATCCAAACCTACAGCTAATGGTATCTGTATTATACACATTAGTAGGCTTACTTTAATACCAGCGTTTCTCAATAACTCTAGAGTGGGTCTAACATCAGTCTATAAAAATATTACACACTGCATATCAATATAAAGTATCAGACAATGTAATGAAATTAGGGGCAATTTTGGAGCCATTTTTCTAAAAAAAAAGCATGGACTCATTTTTTAAATAGTCATAACTCGAAAATTTGAGCTCAGAATTAGCTCCAACTTTCTAAATAGCATAAGGACGTCAATATGTCTCAGAAAATGTAATAAAAATTGGGGGTGATTTCGGAGCCATTTTTTTGAAAAAATCATGGGCTATAGCCTTGGGTATTTTTCAGAAAATGGCATATTTTAAAAAAGTGTCCATAACTTGAAAAATTGAAGTTGGAATCAGCTCAAACTTTTTACAAAGCATAAGTACATTCATATCCATGAGAAAATGTAATAAAAATTGGGGGTGATTTCAGAGCCATTTTTTGGAAAATAACCATGGGCTATAGCCTTGGGTATTTTTTATAGAAATTGGCAAATTTTGAAAATCGCCATAATTTGAGTTCAAAAATGTAAACTAGAAGAATTTAAACATTAAAGAACAAACAAAACAAGAAGAAAGGAAGCATTGAAATTAATATTATGCTACCTGTAGACTGTCTTCAACTCCAGTGACACACAAAAGTTCCAAGTTATTCTCAATTGATTCAATGACTGAAGCAGTGGCTGCCTCTCTGTCAGATATATTAAGCTGAGCTTGTTTATATCTAGTCTACAAGTATAGAACAGATGTCACAACATTTCAAATGTAAAAAAAATTTGCTACAAGCTGTGTATATATCTATTTTTATATTCATAAAATATTCATAAGTAAATAAAAATTTATCAGAATTAATACAGCAGCAATTAAACCCAGCAAGAGATACTCGTGCCTTCAGAGGCAAAAGTACTTACATCAAAAGTATTGAATTGTTCAACCGAGAGATGCTTTTTACCAACAACCAATGTACGAAGACCTTCTCTAGCCATGTTACCACACTGGGCATGTGAGAGAGAAATACTATAAAGTACATTACAAAAGGAGCCATTACCTCCTCAGTTAGCCAATCACTGTACTCAATCATTGTGCTCATCACATTGTCAGCTCCTTTCATATAGAATGTGACAGCATTAGTTCTCGAGTTCTATGAAGACTAACAATGATTAGATTTCATTTTAAAGTAGGCCTTACTTTAACAATGATGCCCATTCTCTTCCTTTCTGATGTGAACGGGAACAAGTGACATATGTCATATGATGCAATGGAGTGATCCGGTAGCTCAATTTGTATAGAATTAGTGTCCCTTGATGTGAGGACCATACCAACCTTCTTTGCCCATTCAACTAGTGCAATCTAGTGAAAATTTTAAACTTTATTTATAGTCTATAGTTTACTAGAGGTATGACTATTATTTTTAAGAAAGAGAGCTCACAATTAAGGTAATGGATTACAATACTAAACAAGTAATAGCACTCATTACCTCATCAGGGCTGGAGGCTTGAAAAGATAGTGTTTTAGTTTCGTTGCATTTCGAATAAAGCAACACTTCCTCTTCTTCATCATCTTTATCCAATTCGTTATTTTTATCAGCATCTTCAAGAACTGGAGTGACATTATGACACAAAGCAAGTGCTAGTACACAATCAACCAACAGCTCATTAGTAGCCTGTGACAATAACAAAGAGCATGTTAATAGGATTGAATCAATGCCTGTGTGGCTTACCTGAGGAGAGTGTGAAGTATAGTAGGCGCTTAGCAATCTTCTAACCTGAAACCAAACAATGTGAATTACAACAACTCACTAGGACACAATACAACAGAATAAAGTGAGAAGATAAGAAGTGAGAAAATTAGACCAGCAACTTTCCTACCCTCCATTACTGATCTCTCTACTAGCTATTCCTACCACTAATCCCTCTCATTGATTTCACTGACATCATGAGCCAAGGAAGTGAGTCCATCAGATACAAGGGGTGGTCCAATCTTCATCGAGCTGCAGCTAAAAACTATTTCCCACGTGTAAAGAAACTGACCATGACAGCCCCAGAGAGCATAGAAGGGACCAATGCTCAAGGTCTGACTCCATTGCAGGTTGCAGCCCAGCATGGATCACTGGAATCATTCCTAGTGCTCATCAAAGCTGGGGCTAATGCATCAGTACTGACTGATGAAGGACTATCAGTTGTACAACTAGCAGCAAGAGCAGGTCAGGTGCAATTCACTGTGAGTTTAGCAAGTGAGCCTCCATTCACTGATACCAGCATACTAGAGCAAGTATGCCAATATATAAGACAGCTAAAGAAGATATGCCACACATATGCAGAGGCTGTGCTAATACTAGAATCAATGATGAACTCAATGCTACACAAGTCCCCCGAAAGCTATCACGATGCTCTCAATGTGCTTGAAGACTTACAAATAGTCTCACTCATTGAGAGAATCTTAAAGCTCTCGATCCAAGAGAAGATAGTCCCTGCAACAATCTCCACTTCCAAATGTCTAATGATGATAACCCCTTACTTCACAAAAGAAATAACTAATTCTAAAATACCAAAGCTCCTCATAACGCTAACGGAGGTAGTATTGAATCCTACAGCTTGTTATCAAGCACTGTCTGTCATAGCAGAGCTAATAGAGCATGCACCCGATAGCTGTGCAACAGTCTCTGCACTAGGAGGCCCACTGGCACTGCTAAAGATACTGCAGACACACAAAAGCCACGAGCTACACATTGTTGCCATGAAGTGCATCACTCAGGGAGGAGCCAACCCACAGCTAGCGCAACAGTTTGCATCACCGGAAATGGTAGCAATGTTCATGAAAGCGCTCAAAACGGATCACAGTGGTAGCGGGGCTGCCACAGTCACTGCACTACAGAGTATAATAGAGTCTAGCTATGAGGTGAGGTACAAGTACATTGAGGAAGGACTAGTGGAGAGGCTACTGGATCTACTCAAACCGTTCGATAACACACTAACAGAGCCGTGCATCATGCTACTGTGGACACTCTGTGACTCTAGATCCAGCCACAAGAAAGTAGAGGAGCTTATAAAGCAGCACCAGTCAGCGATATCAATACTAATGTTCCTTATTGAGCATGGGATGAACATGCAAATGCAGCAAATGAGCCTAGACATATTGTGGTACACAGCAGGGGACAGCATACACGAGAAAAGGGCACTGGCCATAGTACTGGGTCCCTCTTGTCTGGTGAGACTTGCTGAGTTGAGCAGTCCCAAACTAGCACTCACAGCATTGGAGCTACTATCACCAGTTGCTTATAGCAAGCAAGCAGAAGTCATCAAGGCGGGGGCCATATTATTGCTAGTCACTGTGCTCAAAAACAGAAACGAGGACAGCATAAAGATACTAGCACTAAAAACGCTGGAGAACCTCGGCTATGGCATGGGTCTGCAACCAAACTGTGAGGCACAGGCTGCACTCGTATGCATAGAAGGAATACAACTACTGCTACACATCTTTCAACATCATCGGAACGAGGAGGTCAGAGTTCAAGCACTATGCACGCTCGCTACATACTCCAACAAGAGCCCAAACACAAAGAGACTGATATTTCAAGTGATACCACTACCAACACTATTGAGCCCACTCCAATCCCAACCACACACTACACCAATCAACTACACACAGAGCATATGCTGCATTGCTTTCAATGACATGGACACACAATCCAAAATGATAGCCCACGGAGGCATCCTTGTTGACAGCTTCCTCCAACTCATCAGTACTGGGAACAAGCAGCATGCAATGGAAGCTGCCTTCCAGATGATCGTACTCGCACGGACTTTCAACAACTCAAAGCCATCCGTAGTCACAGCCATTGGATTGAAACTCCTCATCAAGTCACTGAGGAAAAGCATAAAAACGGAAGATGTTGATTTGCAGGTGAAGACCGGACTCTTCATCAGTGGACTATTAAGAATGAGAGCAGGACTAGCTGCAGGGCTGGTAGGACTAGGACTAATACCACTACTGGTGCAACTACTAGTGGGAAAGCAAGAAGGAGCAAGGAACGTTGCAGCTGTTTGCATGACACAACTCACTTACTTTCCTTCAGCTCTCAGGCTGCTCCTTCGGTGGTTTAGGGCAGAAAATAAACTTTGTTTCCGTATGCAACAGTACAGCAGTGGCTATCGGCCATCAAGCAACTTTATTGAGATGTGGAGTATGTATTGCAGGACACACAATGTCCGGAAAAAACAGTGAGTTCACTCATAGAGTAATCAAATAATGCTACCATCATTATTACAGATATCAGGCCCTCTCACCTGATATAATAAAGCCTGGAGAACATGGAGCCAAAACATTTGGTAAATGATTAAATCAAAGTACAACCTAGCTATACTGTGACACATATACAAGTACATGTACATGCATATGCACATCAGTTTATAAAGTAGCAGACTGTACATGTCAATGGTGCATAACAAGGATTATTTTAATGATTTTTATTACTATGTACATGTAGCTGGTCCTAGGAGGTCCCTACCAAAAGAGACGCTGTACCATATAGAGGAGACTCAAGAAGATCACGAGATTGGGTTCTATGAGCGAGCAGCCTCTGGCTCAAACAGCAGACAATCATTAAAGAAAAGCTTATCAAGACTCAAGAGTTATGAGTCGACATCCAAACTGCCTCCCATAGTCAAACAGGACTCAAACTAACCTCATCCGATGACTCTGAAGTATATGATATTGAACCTAAATGGATCTTCTTGAACACCTACATGTACATACATTAACAGAACATTAAAAAATAATATATATATATAGTTTATTAACATAATATTATACACATATTGATGCATTAGGTTACTTATTTTAAATGTACATGTAGTCTAACCATTTCATTTTTTGTTAGTGTCCCTGTCTTGTCGCTCAGTAAATACTCGATGCGTCCGAGTTCTTCAGGTATAGTGCTGTTCCTTACAAGGTTTCCAGCTATGTTAGAGTCACGTTGTATTATCCAACTATACACAAGCTTCCCCATGTCCAGATTAACGCGTAAACTAAACAAAGACAAGTGGAGTTATACTATTGTCCCCTGGTCAGCTAGTGTACATGAACTTATTAAGAACGCTTGTTAAGAATTATCAAAGAAATAAACACTATAGCATAGTAATTATACATTGGTACTACATACATACCTGATTGGAATGATGTAAGAGAAGAGGATTACATAACGGAGTAAATACACAAACCAATAACTTGAAAACCCCTACAAGAAAACAAACAAACAAACAAATGAGAAGTAATTTATGGCTATTAGGTTCTGCTCTGTATTGGTGTACTTTCAATGAGAGTATAATGACAGCTAGTATCATCATTGAGAGGAACAGGACTTTAGTTAGGTTATTGATCTCTCTGTCAACTAGTCCAGTCTACATGTACCGATATGTGACATTATGAATAGCCTCAGATATTAGAAACGACTGACTTTAGCTCGAGGTGTACTAGTATGAAGAACACTGCGTGTTTCTTTACCAACGTATATTACTAGGCCAACTATTGAGCCTGTAGAGAAGAATAAAGGATTGTAATACAAAGACACTACACATTTGTATTGACACTTATTGTTGGTAATGTTTGCCAAACTATTATTGACACACACAATATATATATATATATATATATATATACATATATATGGTTTCTTGTACTAACCTGTAGCAAGTACTGTGTTAGCCCACAGTGTATTTACAAGAGACAAAGGCTCTTCAATTCCTGTATCAGACTCTCTTGGTGTCTATCATAAAATGAATGGATATTGATTTACTTCCTAGAGCAACTTTAAAAATTCATAAAATATTCAATTTTGATCGGAGTCAGCTCAAACTTTCTACACAACATAAAAACATGTATATGCATCAGCAAAAATTATAAAAATGGAGTATTCTCTCCTAGCCATTTTTGGCAAGATTTGGTCAAAGACCCTGTACTATAGTACAGGGTCTTTGGCCCAATTTTGAAGCAACTGGACTAAATGTGCATAGCCCAATGCATTAGTATCATCCAACAATTATAGATTGCACAAGTAGCATACCATTGACAGTCTTCCAGAGAATGAATAAAGGTCTTTCTGAAGTGGCTCAATGTTCAATTTAATCCCGCAAGTCAACAACTCCTAATAACAAAAGGACTAACAGTACTCATGTACAAGTATATACAGACACACTAACCTCATCTGATTGAAGCTCCTGTAACAGAGGTAGAGAAGTTCTTAGCTTCCAGTCAGTCTCACCGTCCAACTGATCAGTTTTGATGAAACAGGATCCTACACACCAATCATTAGTAAGTACCATACTTTCCCCAATTAATGCACCTCTTAATGAATAATTACATGTCTCAGGAGGTGCATTGTTTAGATAGAAATGATTATGAAATGCTCCAGGAGGTGCTTGTTAGGTGCTTAGCAAAGTACGCAATACACCTGTAAACAATGGGACTTTCTAATAACAAAGCACCTCTCAAAAATAATTATCTTGACCAGGAGGTGCACTCAATTATTGTAGAAGCCATGTAGAGGTGCAATATTAAGAGGGTGCGTTAATTGGGATGAGTATGATACATGTACAATGATTGTAATCATTGTATTGTTATAACCTTTGTTATTGGCTGATGTACGTAATAATATCATGTCAGCAGGTATGCGCTGATCCTAATGTAAGTGAGTACATGCATATTAATTATAAATAATAATGATGAGCAGAAGTAATTCAGAACCTTATGAACTAGTACAATATCTCCAACAGACAAGTTCTCGCTAGTTACAACAGTAAATCCTATAAATATTTATGATTAAAATTAAGCTTAGTTCAATTAGTTCATAAAATCTTACCATCACTGGTAAGTACGGAATATTTCTGACCATTTATAACTTTGTCACGAAAGTATCTCTTAACGTCATCGTAAAGCTCTCTACACATTGTAACACTGACTACAAACATCTACAAACAAAATGAAATATAAATAATAATAGTATGTAATAGTAGGTGCATACCAATGGGGCCCAGTAAGTGTACCAGTAACCAATCTTCAATTGAGGAACAACTTGAGAGCAAGCAATGACAAGAAAATAAAGATTTAAAAAGACTTTAAATTGTTGAAATAAAACCTAAAAAAGAACATACATGTAATTGTCATAATATACTAAAATGCATTAAATTACTTTTGGAAGGAAAGAAATTATCGAGTATTTTTGATTGCTTATTCTATTATTCTATAAAATGGAAATTAATTGTGACATTCTAAGCAATCACTACCTTTACTGGTCGTTTCCCTATTGAATCACTAACTGTTATCGTTCTAGGTAGACTTGGCTTAGGTTTAATGAACAAACCTCGTAGTCTATAAAAGAAATTCAAACTCAATCAAACCAGTTATTCTATGCAAACAACTAATCATTAATTTTGCCAATTAAAACAAGGAAATCATGACATACAATTCAATGATGTTGTCATCATGCAATAATTATAACCTTGCATAGAAACTTTCTTTCCTTTGTTTATCTGTCTTAGAAATATCAGACTCATCATGTTCTGTATCACTTAGTAATGAAACCTATTATTGAGCATTGAAAAAGATTTCAAAATGAAACTGCTGAAGATTTGACATCATTATAATTATGCTTCATTCCCATTTAGTTGTCCCTTACTTCATCTAGACTACTCAAAAGACTGTCTTCATAAGATTCTTTCCTACTACCACTACCAACGGCAGTGTAACGGTGAGACGTGGACCAAGGAGCAGACCCAAGACTCAGAGTAGGAAAATTCGCCATGCTGTAGGTGTGACAGACACACCTCCAAAATTATGAATAATAATAATAATTTTTTATTAATTTTATTAATGATTTACTCTAAATGTTAATTTCTATAATAATCTACTGCTAATATAAAAATTTCTTTTATCTATTATCAAATTTTAACTCAATGGTCATATCAGACATAATTGCCATATCAGTCATAATGTTTTTCTCATCATCTTTATCTATTGGGCAAGAACTATGTATCTCTATCAACTTCAGTTTGGCAGCTCCAGTTTTCTTCCAAGACTCGTAAATATTCTTATAATGTTCAGCTCGAGCTTCATCATCATAATCAGACTCATTAACAGTTAGGCCAAGTTCGAAATATGGTGGACTGCTACCAGAGATAGAATGAAAGATAGAATCAAAGAGTGTAAAGATAGAGGATTCAGCTAAATCATATTCAATACATAATTTCTTAAGACGACCTTCAATGCTTGAAACTAAACTTGTGAAATTAAGAATGACTTCAGCTGCATCCATACTTGGTATATCCAGCTCCCAGTCCTTTGCAGTGACAATACGAAGAAATTGAGACAACAGATCCATGTCTGGTTTGGTGAGTGCAAGAGTAAATGTATCGCTGATTTGATCAACTTGAGATTAGAGAAACAGTGCAGAGTGCTGGTCTCATTTCCGGTTAGTTCTAAAGACCTCAGGCTTAGGTTTGATGGCAGGATAGATACCAAATCAGATGATAGTGAGCTGTAATAAACAGTAAGAGATTTAGTGCTCATTCGATCCATGTCATACTCGATACTCTGTGGCTGAAGCTGATCAGAAAACACAGAACAGTTTAATTTCAACAAGAGTGACACAGGATAAGGTGACGAAAAGAAGTGATGCAAAATAGCTTGAATGTTGCTACTTGTGCAAACAGGTTTGTTAGTACTGAAGGAGAGCTCTTTCATTTTTGGATAGTAGAACAACTCATTCATAGAACTGACAAAGGAAGTTAGTTTAGAGGTACCTGGAGCATGACTATCCCAGGACCAGCTGTGTATGAGTACGTCAACATCCTCCAAATCTTTAAACTTTTGTAAAACTTGAGAAACAACGTCAACTGCAAAAGAGATTCAGAATAATTATGACTGGTGCAAATTAAGTAAAAATTACCTGCAGGGACATCACATATTACAGTAAACTTCCTTAGCTGGCACTCCTTAGATTTTGCTATGTAAGGATAGATAACGCCAAGATGATGAGACACTCCCAATACTTGAATATGTGGTTTAATCTTGTTAAAGATCAAATCAGCAATGAACTCCAATTTCGGATGACAGGAACTGTCTGAAAGATTATACAAATACTCCACATTAAGAGCTTCAAGAGAACTTAGGAAGAGAGAGGCTTCTTTGTGGAGAGACTCTTTCTCAATAATGTCCCAGAAATTAGACAGCTGCTTACGAGAGATAGAAATATGTTTTGGTAAATAATGACAACTGTTTGCAAGTAGCCCAATCAGTTGCCCAATGTCATTGACAACACGCTGTGAATGACCATGATGGGATCTGAATGGAATCCCTGGATCATAATACTCATCAATATAACGCCGTGGAGTGAATCGTGGGCACATGTGAGCAGCACGATGAACATTGTGAGAGCTACGAATGCTACGATCGAATGAATCGAATAGTTCCATAGCCTCATTAGATCGATAAATGCCAAACAAGAGATCAGAATTGAAATGAGAATACACACAATCACAAATGTGCTCTCCATGCTCCACCACCAGCTTTAAAAAGTGGTCGAAATATATGTCCTTCTAGCCATAGTCTGTGCCTAGGTTTTCTGATATTATTTCTGGCGTAATCTGACTAAAGTCGAAAGCTTTGTCTGAACTTGCATCATCCTCGTTAACAGGAAACCTCTCCTTGCAGAGTCTCTCCCATATCTCATTCATTGTTATACCAGACGTGACCGGTGTGTCTTCCAATTGGCACACATCAACTGCTGGTAAATGAAGAAGGAGTTTGTATCTCATTGAGCGAGGCAGTAAAGAGAGTACGGTAGGCGGTATCTCTCTCAAGTGGCCCATTATGAATAGGAAGCATTGGTTCTGTAGACTAGAAGGATAGGCAACAACACCATTTTGTAGACGTTGCCAGTACGATACTACCTCCTCTTCATAATCTGTAGTTTCCCCGTGCTCTGAGTCATTCTCCTCCTCGCTTGTCTCGTCCTCCTCTGACTCGTTTTCTGATTCTGACCTGTCCTCCTCCATTTTATTATGTAGGCGTGGCCTATGCCAAATAAAATGGAAATTAATGAATAATAATTGACTAATAATGACTCGAAAAATGAAATCCTAATACAAAATGACTATCAACTATAAAATTTTAACTCAATGGTCATATCAGTCATAATGACTTTCACAGCATCTATTGGGCAACGACTGCTTATCTCTATCGACTTCAGTTTGGGAGCTCCAGTTTTCTTCCATGACTCATAAATGCTCATATAATGATCAACCCGAGCAGCTTCATCATCATAATAAGACTCATTAACAAACAGGCCAAGTTCAAAATACGGTGGACTGGTAGCAGAGATAGAATAGAAAATATAATCAAAAAGTGTGAAGATAGAGGATTCAACTCGATTATATTCGATATATAATTTCTTAAGACGACCTTCAATGCTTGAAACTAAACTTGTGAAATTGAGAATGACTTCAGCTGCATCTATACTTCGTATATCCAACTCCCAGTCCTTTGCAGTGACAATACAAAGAAATTGAGACAACAGATCCATGTCTGGTTTGGTGAGTGCAAGAGTAAATGTATCGCTGATCTTGATAGACTTGAGATTAGAGAAACAGTGCAGAGTGCTGGTTTCATTTTGAGATAGCTTTAACGACCTCAGGCTTAGGTTAGATGGCAGAAGAGATACCAAATCAGACGTTAGTGAGCTGTCATGAACAGTCAGAGATTTAGTGCTCATTTGATTCATGTCATACTCGATATTCTGTGGCTGAGGCTGATCAGAAAACACAGAACAGTCCAGACTCAACGAGAGTGACACAGGATATGGTGATACAAAAAAATGATAGAAAATAGCTTGAATGTCACCACTTGTGCAAACAGGGGTGCTAGTACTGAAGGAGAGCTCTTTCATTTTTGGATAGTAGAACAACTCATTCATAGAACCGACAAAGGAAGTGAATTTCGAGGTATCTGCAGCACTAGGCTCCAAGGGCCAGTTGTGTATGAGTATGTCAACATCCTCCAGTTCCTTAAACTTCTGCAAGACTTTAGAAACAACATCAACTGCAAAAAGGATTAAAAATAATTATGACTTATATATTATAGTACAAATTACCTGTAGGGGCATCACACATTACAGTAAACTTCCTTAGCTGGCACTCCTTAGATTTTGCTATGTAAGGATAGATAACGTCAAAACGATGAAACACGCCCAATACTTGAATATGTGGTTTAATCTTATTAAAGATTAAATTGGCAATGAACTCCAATTTCGCATTACGGTAACTATCCGAGACAATGTGCAAATACTCCACATTAAGAGCTTCAAGAGAACTTAGGAAGAGAGAGGTTTCTTTGTGGAGATACTTTTTCTCAATAGTTTCCCAGAAATTTAACTGCTCCAAAGAGATAGAAATATGCTTTGGTAAATAGTGACAACTGTCTGCTAGTAGCTTCATTACCTTCCCAATGTCACGGACAACACGCTTTGAATTATCATAATACTCCTCAATATAACGCTGGGGAGTGAATCGTGGGCACATTAGAGCAGCACGATAAACATTGTGAGAGCTATAAATGCTAAAATTGAATGAATCGAATAGTTCCATGGTCTCGTTAAATCGATAAATGCCAAACAAGAGATCAGAATTGAAATGAGAATACACACAATCTTCACAAGTACGCTCTCCATGCTCTACAAGCAGCTTTAAAAAGGTGTTGAAATAGATGTCCTTCCAGCAACAGTCTATGCCAAAGTTTTTTGATAAAACTCCTGGTGTAATCTGACTAAAGTCAAAAGGCTCGTATCTCGCCGACTCGTAGGACCATGCCGCTACTGGCGGTACATCATCCTCGTTAACAGGAGACCTCTCCTTGCATAGTCTCTCCCATATCTCATTCATTGCTATACCAGACGTGACTGGTGTGCCTTCCAATTGGCACACGTCAACTGCTGGTAAATGAAGAAGGAGCTTCTTTCTCATTGGGAGAGGCAGTAAAGAGAGTACAGCTGGAGGTATCTCTCTCAAGTGTCATTATCATTATGAATAGGAAGCATTGGTTTTGTAGACTAGAAGGATAAGCAACAGCACCATTTTGTAGAACTAGACTCCAGCTTTCTGAATCCGAGTCGCTCTCCTCCTCTGACTCGTTTCCTGAGAGGTTTTCAAATTCCCTGACGTCCTCCATTTTATTATGAAAAGCGTGATGATGGCGCCAGGCTGGCTGAATAAATAATTTTAAGGTAGAAATTAAAATTTTAACACTATAAAAATGAGTAAAAAAAAAAAAAACAAAAAACTAAAAATTCAAATAAAAATAAGAATAGCAGAATCTCAGTTGTCTTCAAAATTAGCAAAAAATGTTATTTCAAACGGAACAGACTTCCATTGCTTGCTGACTTGACGTTCTAAAGTCGCTTTATTGTAAAAAGTAAATTTCTTGCATTGTAATACAGGATATTGAATGCAACTATTCTTCCAGATACCCCACACACCCCATTCCTCATTGCACTTAATGCAAACAATTTTTAAAGGTCGGTAAAATTCTCCTACAGGTGGTGGTACTTTTTTTGAACCCCTACTAACTTTCTTCATTTTGGTCTCTACGAAAGTTTGAGAAGGTACAACAACAGAACCATTGTCAAACTTGCACAACTCAGCAGCATTGCAAGCATTTAGTGCACACTTAGAGCAATGCAACTCAACATCTTCAGCTCTCCAGGTCTGCTTCCTCTCATTTGCTTCTCTTATTCTCTTTTCTCTTAACTCAAGAATTTCCTTTTGAATGATTGCTATAGTGGATAGATCAACACCTACTTTTGAAATGTGCTCTGCTGCTAATTTCGCTTGCTCCGTTTTGTCATTGTTAATTAGTAAACGATGATGAACAGGAGAATCTGTTGTTATAATAGTATGAAAAGTACTATCTGCAGCACGAGCTCTACCTTGAGCCTGAACATCAGCAACTTCATCTGACATTATTTGAAAGCGTATGACCATATTGCACTCAGGGACATCCAAACCTTCCTCCAGAACAGATGTTGTAGCAAGAAGGTTATATTTTCCACTACGAAACTCTCCAATCACTTTGAGCTGTTCTGCTTTTGACATAGATGCTTTCCTTGAGTGTCCTGTGATTGAACATGGTCTTACTAATGCTGACAGCTCAGGATTTCTTTTAATCCATTGCGTTACATACCGAGTATGGTCCACAGAACGAACAAAGAACAAAGCTTTTGAGGCAGGTTTGGTACGAAAATGATTCATGAGTATGACTTCTGCTTCATCTAACAATGCGTTACGACTACCTTTAATACCATTGACATTGACTAGAACTTGATTGTGTACTTCATTCAAATGCTTCTCCATATCATTCATCACAGACTCATCAAACAGCTTTACATTATCTAAAATATCTCTAGCATTCTCAATCTCAAAATCTTCATATGTAATGAGAGCTAAATGATAAACCTCCAAAAATTTCAGGATATTAATTTGATCTCGCTGGCTATCCATTTCACTTAACTGAGCTGCTTCTATTTCACTTTTAATCCATTGCTGATATGCCAACGTGAAACGATCAAAAGCACAAATTGTCTTATCAGGTAACTTTTGTTCCAAGTCATCCATTGCCTTCGATATAACCTGACTGAAATGATCGTTACGGCTTCGAGGTGGCAACGAATGACTTCTGAAACTTGGAGTTGGTAGGATTTTATTCAATTCTGTTATGTTCTCTTGAACACATTTGATACCATGGGTTGCATCAATACGAGCGCAAAGCCTCACTTGATGATCTATCACTTTAACTTTCAAAAGAGACCGACCGTGTCCAGCTCCTGGCGAAGCAGTCATCCCAATCACGTGAGGCAATCGACGTCCATTCCTTTTATCAGTAAGATAGTGCTCCATTACTTCAGCATATGGAGCTCTTCCTCGAGTATGATGACACTCATCCAAGACTAGTAATGTGATGTCGTACATGTGAATTAGGTCATGACACAACTCCCCACACAGCTTTCCAGCAGTGCAGACGATGATATCAACTTGAGGTAAGGTTGAATGGATTGGAGAGTCTGATTCGCCAGTTATGTCAACCACTTTGATGCCAGATATGTACTCTCTTAATTTTGTATTCTGTTGACGAGCGAGTTGCTGCGTACTCACAATAAACAAGACCTTTCCTTTTATTCCTCTTTCCTTCATTTTGTCCAAGTGATCATAAATGATAAGTGCAGCGATAAGCGTCTTTCCAGAGCCTGTTGGAGCGCATATGATGTAATTCTTTCCCTCTAGGCCAGGCCGAGCAAGCTCCTTTTGATATTCCCGGATTTTGTCTTCTGGAAATATGAAGGAAAAAGATTCTGTAGCTTCACTAGCTTGTGACTCCTAGTAAAAATATCATAGATGATGTTATGTATAAGATAAATGTACCTTTCCTACTTGATCTTGTTTAATGCCTTCACTGACACTGCTTCTTTGAACTTCAGACAATTCTTCAACTACTGGTATAGTACCTACTTGTATAATTAATTTTTAATCATATTGGGTATTCTGACATACGTTTATCAATTTCCATTTCCTTTGATGTCATAGCCTGTTGTGATTCATATGTTTCTGTAGCATTAGCCTGGTCTCTTTGCATTTCACTGGAATATGTTGATTTATCATCTAAACAAAAATGTACCATAGTCATAACTGTATTCCTTATATGGTAATATTGTACCAGGTATCTGTGTTGATAGCTCCCATGAAGAGGAGGGTACAAGTACATGTACATTGGTTGCTTGACTGGATTGGGACACATTTGGTTCCACTTTAGAAAGTTTAGTACCTATTTTAAAAGTATCAATAGTGCCCACAATAATCACTCTATATATACTTACGGTAACATTTAAGTAATTTCTCGCCAAGTGATCTAGTTTCATTAAACCTCATGAACACATCAGCCAGCACTTTCAACTTATCATGATCATCAGCAACTGTACGACAAACTCTTCTCAAAGACTTTCCAGCCAGGACATTCTGGTCCCTTACTAACATCTCTCTTGTCTCCTCCGCTATTAATTTTTCATCACATAATGAAGAAACTAACTCATCAGATAATGACAGATGGTTCAGTTCATCCTCATTGTCTAACAAAATTCGACTAGCAGGATCCAATACTATAAATAAATTCTAAAAATGGAATTAGAATTACATGTACATACATATTCTACGAACATCATCAGCTACAAGTTTAGACCCAATTTCATCAAGGGCATTAGCTAATAACTGAGGCCGAGCTTTTCCTGATTGTAACCACAAGTTTAAACATTCTATTAAATGACGTGAAACGTCACTACTGTGGTTCGACTCGATATTTTTCAACTCATTGATAGGTAGGTTTAGCTTCAATCCCAAATTAAACCATTTCGATTCTATAAAATGGGCATCTTCTAAAACATCTTTGATCAGCACCAAATGAGTGATGTCTGTAAAAAAGAATTTTAAAAGTCATCAAAAATGAATAAGCTCACTCAAAATAGCAGACATTTTCCCTACTGACACACCTTCTTAATCTTTTGATAAGTATCTCCGCCCAGCCAGGTGCCTGCGCTGCGTGGGTGTCCTTTTGAGAAAAGTCAGTCAACCAGCACAAACACATGCAGACATGTCTTCTTGTCCAGTGCTTTCAGAGCCCATGCTGCTAAAAGAATTCAGTAAGAAACATGGCAACGACCTACCTCAAGTAATATCAGCTCAAGATTCGTTCTATGGCATACAGGACGACTTTCAGTTGGATTTGGACGGAGGGGAAGAGTTTGAGGTGTATTTCAAGAAGGACTCGCCTGTGGTCTACGTGAAAACTGCAGGAATAAAATACACGGTCCCCCTCCACAGTACCTTTAAGTTCAGCGTACTGTATAATCCGAAAAGCGAGGGCTTGGGAACTGCTAGAAGAGGCTACCAGTTTGAAACGGCTGCAGATCTCATGAAAGCCGATCCTTTACCTAGTGTAGTGCACGTTGGCAAAGACTGCATCACATCCAAGGCAATGAATGGAAGAGAGGTCATACCGAAAGGCAGCTTGCTCATTCTAAAAGGATTAATCGCAGAGAAGAACCGTTTTGGAAAATCAAAAATTCTCGTGTGCGTCAATGTCAACGAGCCTCTAAAGAAGTTTTACTTGAAGGAAAAGGCAAAGGGGAATTTCAGCACTAAAGAGTCGTTGCTTCTGTTCCCGATGCCCATACTACTGAGTCACATCAAACTTCCATTTACTACATCGATCTACCAAAACGATATCTTGCACCCAATATTCCATGACAAGACGGGTTATATTGACAGTGAGCCAACTAATCTAGAGTCCTTCATAGTATCCCCCGTCCCGTCAGATGTTCCAAAACCAATCGTACCTCTACCAGCAGGTAAAACACTTCCACGCACTGAGAACCAGAATCGATTGATCGAAATGTCCTTATCCCTCCCAGTCAATTTTAGCGTAGTCCAAATCTCCGAAGAAAAGAAGGAACAACTTAAGCAGAAGAGGGCACTTGTGGCAGAAACAATTTCACCTGAGAACATGGATCTAGTATACACATTCTCTTTAGAGTGTCCATTGCAGAAGAGCCTACTGCAACCGGTCAACAATGAGGACTGGTTGCACGAGGCTGTTGCTACTGATAGCGATGCAGTTTATGAGCCCATGCCTATTGGAACAACAGGTGGTATGAAACCAGTGAGAAATGCTAGCACATCTGCCATAATGCCTATACCTGCCGAACCAGTCAGAAATGCTAACAGGTTTTCCATAGTGCCTTTACCTGCCATATCGCGAAGCAAATCTGTCATGGATATTAAAATTAAGAAAAGTCGTCCAGGCCCTCCCGTACCGCCTAAAAGGACTCGGAGACACTCGAGTGGTGAGGGTAACCAGTCGATTGAAGACCATCAACAAGCTAGACTGTTTTACTCTCTTGACCGTAAAGCATTCAAGAAGAAGAATCCAATTCTTTATGAGGAAATGGACGAAGAAGGCTACACCAAAGTAGAGCTTGTTGATGAGCCAACAGAAATATCAGACCCCTCCAAAGAGAGCTATACTGGGTTACTGCATCGTGAGGATTCAACTAACTCCTCAGGTATTTGTGAGGAGGATTATTCCGAAGCTGTATATCCCGAGGATTCAACCAATTCATCTGTCAATTGCGAGGAGAGCTATTCCGATTTGATACCTTCTCCAACTGAGGTGAAAGATCCCTCTATCGATTGCAAAGAGGAGTATACCGAATTGATTTGTCCTGATGAGATGACAGTTTGCAAAGAGGACTACACTGATTTGGTATATCCTGGCAATACCTCAGGACTTGAAAGGAGCTGTCCAATCTATGAAAACCAGTGTCATCCTCAATTCAACCAGCAAGCAAGCACTGGTATGCCAAATGTGCTATTGTTCTCTGTTTTACGTATTTTTTTCTAGTTCAAAGTTTGTCTCATGAGGTTCTTTATATGAATCTTTCAGAAGCAATAGCACCTAAGCAAACGGATAAGAATAATAATGGTACTACACGCATTATCATCATTATATGAAAATGAGTTTATATTGATCTTTTTATGTAATTATATAGAAGACAAGACACGCTTTCTTCAAATCAACAGAAGTTTACTGCTTAAATATGGACCTGAACAGGTAAATACATGTTTCAGTACACCATACAGGTATACCCATC